GTCTCCTTCTTTCAACCCTAATGTACTCGCACTTAGTTCACGGTCTCCTTCTTTCAACCCTAATGTACTCGCACTTAGTTCACGGTCTCCTTCTTTCAACTCAGTCAAAGTCAGAGATTCAGATTTATTCCGTGATAGATTTCCTGTTGTTTCCCGTGTTATTTGTAGCTGCTACTGTTATCATAACGGGAAGACAGGGAACTAAAAATATTACAACTGTTTTATTGTAGAGAAAGTTATCAGATTCATTTTACGGATAGATAGAAATCTCTTTCGATGTTCTCAAAATGTGGGTTTCGTTTTTCACGTTTTAAACAATATAGATACCATGCTGAGGTCAAATGTTAGGTATAAGAAAATAAACAATATAGATACCATGCTGAGGTCAAATGTTAAGTATAAGAAAAGGAAATATCGTTAAAAAGAAGTTGTTAATTAAACTGAACAACTGTCATGGCAACCATTGGTCTATAGTTTCACTGGTGGTATAGGTAAGGACGGAGTGGTGTGTTTGAAGTTCGCGCAAAGCCATATGGGAGCTATCGGCATTATACGTCCCTGTTTTAGCAGTAATAGACTAGAGGGAAGGCAATAAGTCAAATATCACCCGCCGTTAACTCTTGGGCTACTCTTTTACCAACATAGTGAGACTGACCATCACATTACCCCCCCCCCCTCCGAACGATTCGAGCGTCCTAACCTGATAGTTTGTAGCTGCGTTTTTCCACACACACAAATGAATAATGTGTATATCGCTCAATTCTAACATTATGTTTTTATTTCTTGTACATTTATTATATCTGGTTTAAGCCTATATGAATAAAGGTGCAAGACTTATATGATGAAAGAGCCATTTACTGTGTCAGTAGAACAAATTTACATAGTTACAATATACCGTTAAGTAATAAAATATAATACAAAGTTTTACAAGAAGTCAAGTTTTTGTATGTAATAAAAAAAGAAAAACTCAATATAAAGCAGCCGAGTTCGAACAAATGATTACAAAAACTAAAATTTAGGCTTATAAATATATTTTTTTCTTGGATTTTTTTTGTTATGTTACTGAATATACAGTACCGGTCACAAGTCTGAAACCAAAAAAAATACATTTTTATTTTAAAAACTTGCAAAATAGTGTCTGTGCTATTGTGTTTCTTATTTTATATTTAAATAATGTTTTCTAAATTCATCAAAATAGTGTCAGAAATATTATCCAGACATAACTGCACATCATCTACTTCGAATCATTAAATATGTATTGAATAGGCTTGTTCCATTGATATTAACAAATTATTTAGCATCCATTATAAAATCAACAAAATTCTCATTTCAACTGAGGTAATTTCCGTGAATGACCAGTAAAATTTCACAAACAAGGCTAAAAGTGAAAAAAAAAGAATTTCCGTGAATGACCAGTAAAATTGCACAAACAAGGCTAAAAGTGAAAATAAAAGATAACGTTAAAATTAAGCAGTGGAAAACTAGCACAAATTGCATAACAAAAAGAAACTCATAGTTGTAATACTTAAAAGTTTTAGTGTTTCTGAAGGTGTAGATTATTGAACATTAGTGTTTTACTGCAGCGAGATTTTTCGTACAGAAGAATAGTGTCGTTCGAAGAATTTAAACATTATATCGATCCAAAACACCCCAAGACGTAAATATAGAAACATAAAATATCCACAAACTTAGAATTAAAATAAGAACTGTTTTAATTAAAGAGTTTCAAGTTTGAAAAAATTAGGAAACTAAGTGTTTTTGGTTGAAGAAACAAAGATTAAGTGATTTACAGTGTGTATTTCTGGATTATTAGTTAGACAAGGTTCATAGAGCAATAAAACAATAAAATTCAGGATGGTGGACCTAGAATGGCGATGCTTTTCTGATGTAGGAGTAAGAGATATTGCCAACATTTATAGAACAACAAAAAAAGAGCAGAATCACACCGTTTCGGTTCTATTCCTTACTGCCTTAGGAGTAAGAGATATTATCAGAATTGATAGAGCCAAAAAGAAAGAGCAGAATCCTACCGTTTCGTTTCGCCATGCAATACCCAGTAAACAACTGACATCGTCAATATACCTCAGGTTAGAGGAAGACGACATACTGCAAATTAACTATTTGTTATTATACGAAATTACCTTCTTACGTTTGTTTCTTTCTCCCCTTTTTGCCCCCTAGTGGCACAGCGATATGTCTGCGGACTCACAACTCTAGAAACCGAGCTTTGATACCCGTGGTGG